ACACAGAAAAGTATTTTTGGTAGTTTTTTGCCAGGGCCTCCAAGATGTTTCTATTTGAGAAGAGTTCTGTGGCTGGGAAACCGTGAGGACTATTTCAGGGGTATCAAAGGGTGCCGTTTACGGTAAAACGTCTTTGTAGCATTCCTTGGTCATCCCGATAGTGAACAGATTGGAGGGCTGAAGATGAACAGGGGTTTGCCTTCGGCTGTGTGGCACTAGCGATGCCCCAGCAAAGCCTCTTCTGGTGTTCTCTGACACTCCAGAGGGGTCTTGCTGGAGTGCAGTGCACCAGGCTGGGAAGGGTGCCAGAGCTCTCTGGGAAGGGTGCAAGTAGGTGTAGGAAAAAGCTCCCCTTGTGAGCTGCTTGGTGGGAAGACCCTGAAGTGGGCCTTTGGCTGCCACATACGCACACACGCACACACACACACGCACGGGTTGCTTTCTCCTGGGCAAGGCTCCCACTGGTCCTGAGCCACAGAAGTGGGGTGTCCGTGAAACTGACTGGGCTTGCCGCCTCTGCCGTGATGGCGCTCTTCAGATGGCACCCTTGGCTGCCTCTCTCTTCAAAATGAACCCTTGGTGGCCGTCCCGTTCCACTGGCCTCCCCCTCAGCCATTGGATGACTTCTGGATCCCAGGGTCCCCTGGCCCCTGTGCCCTCTTTTCCACTGGACGTGGACCGCTGCCCCTCGAAGTGCATGAATCACCAGCCCGTTCTGCCCTTGCTGACCTGCGGCCGTCTCCTTCCTTCCTTGCCCCTTTCCTCAGGGTCCTGTTTTAAACGGAAAGGGGGCGCCAGGGGGAAAAAGCCTTTTGGTTTGCCTCTGGAGAGGCCGCTTTGGGCCAAACTCAAACTCTCCTTGACCTCTTCTGGGCGTGTTGGGACCATTTGCCTCCCCTGCCCATTGAGCGGAGTAGCTTGCTGTTTGTTCTGCTTTATTTTTAACTTTTCCAATAAACAATACCCCAATGCTTTTGTGGAGCTTAATGAGAAGAAAATGTTTAAGGATTGCAAACCACTATAGCATTTTTTGGGTCTTTTTAATTGAAGGCCAGGCTTTTGTTCTACTCCGTAATTGAAACCAAAAAAAGGCAAAGACTTTTCTGTCCCTGGAAAGTGGTCATGTTGTCCTACTGCATGGTTTTTCCAGAACTATGCCTGCCTCTCCTGCCAGCTTTAATGATTATCTGTGAAAGCTGTCAAGCAGCTCTCACCCTGTCTTCTCTCTCCCTGTCTCTGCTGGGCTTTTTTGTGTGTGTGTGGAACATAACCCCTCCCCCAGTTAAAGTTACCTGAAACATAAGAGCATATTTTGGTTTTCTTTTTTAAAGGGTTAGTGTGTGCATCCCCTCCATTCTGCCTCTCAGACCCCATCCACACCAACTCTTTGATTTTGAGTTTATGCTCCCTCTCCTTCCATCATTCAGATACTTGTCCTTGGTATTGGTTGTTTTTATTTTATTAATGTTTTAATTGTTGTGTATTTACTATGTAGTACTGCATGTTTTGTCTGTTGTTGCAAACTATCCAGAATAGGGCCTTGCACTAATGATTAGGCGTCCTTCAGTCTCGAGAGACTATGGTAACGTGCTCTGTATAGAGGTCTTGGAACAGCGTCTAGTGTGGCTGAAGAGGCCAATTCGAGAGTGGCAATCTCTTCCACACTGAAGACAAATCCAATCTGTCCCCTGTCCAGGTTCCTGGTTTTGCTGGTTTCGTGACTGCCTCTTTGCCTTGGCCTGCTGGACAGGGGTCTCTTCAAATTGGGAGAGGCCATGATGCACCACCTGCCTCCACACTGAATGCTCAGAGGTCAAGGTTTCCCATCTGTTGAGGTCCATTCCTTGCACTAATGAGGCAGTCTATAAATGAAATGAATCCAATCCAATCCAAGCCAGCCAGCCAGCCAACCAACCAACCAACCAACCAGTCAGCTTGTATCTCCTGTGATAACCTTAAAGGTTACTTTGCATCAGAAACATCACAAGGGAGCCAGAATGGGTTCCTTGATTTTCACACACTCGTTTGCTGTCTGTAGTGTTGTGTTGTTGATTGATGCTCCCGCCATATGTGGGAATCCTTGGCTTTTGCTCTTTTCTGAGTGGGTGGGTACTCATGTGCCATCAGGTCGATCCTGACTTAATACTGACCCTAATTGGGATTCCAAGGTATGCGAGCTATTTAAAAGATAGTGTTACTGTCGCTGCCACACACACCCCTCAGAGTTTCTGTGGACAAGTAGGAATTTGAACCCAGATCGGAAAGCGGTGCAAGTGAAAGAAACAGGCAGAGTTTCTTTGTTAAATTCTGTTTTGCTAACATTAAGGAGTGGAGCAGAACTTCATATGATTGAAAATAATGTTGGAAAGATTTTGGGAACGAGCGAACAATGGAGAACCCTTAAGAAATGGGAGAATGCAGAAAGGGGTAGGATGGGGGGGGCAGAAGCAGAGTCTATAAAGACACACACCCAAGCCAGTTTTCTACAGTTGTGAGGAAGTAAGAAGTTGCTCTTCTGTTGTAATTAAAACTGGAAGTAAATTATGATGCTGATGTTGGTAATAGGCAGGGATTATTACGGTATGTGGCCAGGCAGAACCCACAACTCTTCCTTTTAGTTGGCTTCTCTGGATTTGGCTTTAGTAAAATCCCTGCGTTCCAACCGAGCCACTTACCTTGGAACTGGGGACCATCTGCCTTTCCCCCAATTTGGGAAGTGTGCTGCATCCTCTGGTTTTCAAAATAATGTTTTCCATTTTCTGGAGGTTTTAAATGTTTTTTGTGTACATGGTTCTGCCGCAAGTCCAACTCATTTGGGCTCATCTCATACAATATAGATGGGGAGACATGCTGGGCAGCATCTGGGTGAGACAGTGGCCGGTGTCCTGGGAGGGCAGTGCTGTCCAGCTCCCGTTCATTGCAGTGAGGCCCATGCCGGAGAAGAGGCTGCTGGATTAATCCAGGGCTTGACTCCGTGGCTGAATTTGGGCTGTCGTGAATTGGCTGGGGCTTGGTGGCCAACAGACTTTTTGCCCAGTGGACGTGCACAGCTATTAAATCAAGAGGTGTCTATTTAGCTTTTTAAAACTCTGTCATCTGGACTGGGAAAGGTGGTTGCAAGCTCTGGAAAAACCACGATCCTAAAGCAATTGCTGGCACAGAGATGGAAACCAGCATGTTCAAGATGAAGCTTAGACATCATCACTAGATGGCAGACTCCATCCTTTTTTTAACATGTCTTTTAAGCTGAAGGCTGATAGGAGCAAATATTCTGTCTCTTCTTTAGAGAGGCTGTGTTGGGTGGGGGACGGAGATAACGGAACCTTTTAAAGGAGGTTTCCTTTTCTTTCCAGCCATGTTGGAGAAAAGGGGAGGCAGGGGATACTGTCAAGATAATTTTCAGGCTCTGACAAGGTAGATTTTTTGAAGAACCCCCGCCCCCACCTTTTCCTTGCTTTGTTCCTTTGGACTGTCAGGTCCAAGGTTATAATAGACTCTCTGGGATGGTGAGAGGTCTCTTCTTTCTCTCTGGCCCTTTTTTTCTGGGCAGATCTGAGGACTGACCTTGGGGCTCTCCCTGTCAAGTGTGCAAGGGAAGTTGGGCAAAGGGTTTCCTCTGTTTTCTGTTCTAGCTGTCCCATGCCTTGTTGCACAACTGAGTGTGTCACAGACATTGGAATGATTTCAGACACACCTGTTGTGCAACATTCAGATAAGGAATGTCATAGTCTTCAAATTAAAAGCAAACATCCTGACACAGTTCAACATTTTTTAAAAAATAAAATAAAGATCCAACATGCTTTGATCTTGAATTAGTTGTCTTTAGTTGTCCAGTAATTCTGTCCCAATTGCAATTTCTCACATACATTTAAGGAAAATAACAACCTGCCTCTCAGCCCATTCTTGTGGGGGTCTGAGAAGCAGAGCTGGGGTGGGGTGGGGGCCAGCAGGCATGAACCGGGAGGGAACAGCACAGGGGACTCCAAGCCAGGTACTGTATTCATGTTGTTGTTCTTGTTGTGGTTGCTGCTGCTGCTGCTGCTGATGTCTGAAGGTCATGAATTGCTGCTGCTGCAGTAGCAGCAATTCATGACCTCCAAAAACTCCAGCCCCCAGGTCTTCCAAGTCATCCTGTCATTAGTACGTTTCCCACAGACACCACATAGTACCAAGTTAACTGCCAGCTAATTTATGGTAACATTCCATGTACTTGCAGCAACAACTTTCCAGGTTTGGTAACAAATTACATTGCATACATTTTACCTCCTCCCGCAGCTTATGTTTTTGTGTTTGGAGGAAGGGAGTGTGGTGTTTGTTTCCAGGCCATCAGCATGGCTTTAGAAGATTTTCCCTCTTTAGCTGGAAGAGTGTGTGGGAGCCCCCAGGGGGTCACTGGGTTACTTTTGGTGCTGATGGGGTGTGTGTGCAAGAGTATTTGTGTGTGTATGTGTGCACACACAGAGGGTGAGGTGCAAGCTGTGGGCTAAGAGATGATGAATGGGGCAGAATCCTGCTATATTTCTTAGGTAGGGGCTAAGTTTGGAGGAGAAACCCAGATGATTCTGGTTGTTTGGAACAAGGGTGGGCATCCCTTAATGAGGCTGGTTGTTCCCTGCTTGGATGTGTCGTTTGTGTGCAGGGTCCCTATCTCTGCAAGTCCTTTATCCCTTGAGCAGAACCATCAAACTGAAAGGAACCTCAAGGGCTGTAAAGGGCCCTGACCCCACCCTCAGGCCCACAGCGGCAGGAGCAGTTCCTTTTCTGCACCTGTTTGGGGAAGGGGGGGCAGGAAGAGAACTGAGGAGCTGCACCAGGTGACGGTGTGAGAAGCACATCCTGAGGACTGCAATGAAAGGAGCATTTGTGGAGGTGGGAGCCCCACCTGTCTTCTCCTTGTCCTCCGTAAAAATCAAGGTGTTTAAGGGCTTTTTAAACTGATGCTTGGTAAGGGCACCAGCTCAGTGGCGAAGGCATGTTGAAGGTGCCCTTGTGTCCCCTCCAGGTCTGTCTACGATGGGGAGGAGCATGGACGCTTCATGGAAAAGCTGGATGCTCGTATCCGGAATCACGACCGGGAGATTGAGAAAATGTGCAACTTCCATTACCAGGGTTTTGTGGATGCCATCACAGAATTTTTAAAAGTCCGAGCAGAAGCCCAGAAGCTTAAGGTAAGGAATGGGGTTCAGACAGAAGCACGGCAGTTCCTTACAGAGGAAGGCCCTTTGGGAAAGCTCTCAGGTGACAATGTGCCTCTTGAGAAGGAAAGCGTCTGCCCTTCCAGCCCAGAATTCGCCCTTGGGCTACCTGGGCAGTTTCCATCATATTTCCACTTTGTATTTACCTAGTTTTGAGGATGGGACAGGTCTGGATTGACCTCTAGCTGTCCCGGTAGGGCACAGTTTTTGTGCTTTTGACCTTCAGGTGAACGACTTGAGGAAGCTCCCTCTGAAGTGCTTTGTCTGATCGGACTCTGGTATAACACACAGAGATGTCACAAAATATGAATGCATACCATGCAGTGGAAGCCTGCCTTCCACTGATGAAAAAGCCCAATGACCTTTTTTGAGCATTGGGCCCATCTCAGTGGGCTGTTCCTGGCTTTAGGTCCGGTTGTCATGGAACTGTAAAGGTCTTTGGGGGCTACTTAGGCCATGACGTGCCATGGCATTGGGTTCAGAGAAGCTTCTTTCCTTCTTGAGGAAGCCCATTCAGCCTACAAGCCTGTTTAGAACCAGTAGCCAACAATATAAAAAAGCAAAGCAAAATATTTTTCTCTTCACAGAATCAAGTGATGGACACTAACAGAAGACTGCAGATGGAAAGCAAGAAAGTAAGCCCTGGGTTTTCTCTTTGAAATGACCTCCATGTTGCCTTTGGGGATTGTCTTGCTTGTAGTCCCAGGTGTGTTGGGACTCTGGGGAGGGGGACCTTCGACTCCCCAGCTCTGGTCGTCCACCTCTGCCTTCCCCATGGGTGAAGTGGCTTCTCTCTCTCGAATATAGCTTCCATCTCCCTGCCTCATGAGCTCTGTATTTCTCTCACAACAGAAAAAGAAAAGAAAAGAAGGGGAGGGGCAGGGAGAGTTTGGGCAAAAGCTAACTTTCTCCTACAACTCTCGTAGCTTTCCGATGGTCTTGTGTACTCTGTTGCCCAGGACAGAGCTGTGTGAATCCTTTTGAATGGGTGGCCTCCTGGGTGGAGTCGGCCCCTCGGCATTAGGATTCTCTCAGACGGCCTTGATGCAGAGGGAAGGTGGGGTGGCACTTGAGACATGCTAGCTAGTAGCAGGCCCCTTCTGTGTCAGGCAGTAAAATGCTGGCCTGTTGAGCTTGGAAGATCTCCTCTCAGTTGGAAGCATGGGCGAGCGGGCGAGCGAGCGAGACAGGCCCCCGCTCCTGATTGCAGCGTCTAGAGTCCTGCTTTTGGAGCACAGCGAGCACCCCCGAGAAGGTGGCTTGGAAGGTGAAACAGGTTTCTTTTACAGCTGGTGGGAGCCATGGAAGAGCTGAAACAGTGTCGCCTCCAGCAGCGGAATATTTCTGTGACGGTGGACAAGCTCACACAGTGCCTTCCCGGTGAGAGAGCTGAAGTGTAAGAAAAATGCGTCAGTGTGATTCTTGAAATGGCAGGAGGACCCCAGATGTCTTCTCTAATTGACTTCTGTCTCTTTCTGTCTCTTTTGCACTAGTTCTGGAGATGGATAGCAAGTTAAGAGAGCAAATGAAGTCCAAAAGGTGAGGAAGTGAATGTTGTTCTGAGCGATGCATTGAGAGAGAGCAAACCAGAGGCCTTGTCTCAGTTGAAACCCCATTTCAGAGACTCCCTGGGAATGGAGGAAGGTTCGTGTAAGGCTTGTCGGGCCCACACTCCCTTCCAGCCATGCACCAAGGTACCATTCACTGGGAAAGTCTCCTACGTATGTGAGCCCCATTGATTTGAATGGGACAGAAGACTTTGGGGTTATTTCAAGGAGTGCTTTTGCAGGTAGAGTTCCCAAGGGTTGAGCTCTTCTTCCCCTCCTTTGCCCTCCTGGCAGATGATGCTCCTGCAGTTGGCGCTCTGCGGAGACCCAGACTTCTCTTGTCGGGTCTCACAAAAGCAAAACCTGCATTGCTTATGTCTCTGATTAGAGACAGGCCACTGGTTTGGTGGTTTCTGCTGGTCTGTTTTTATGCCAAACCTGTGTTCTGTGCTTCTCAGCCACACCTCCGCTGAGCGCTACCTTTTAGTGCGTGTGTACCAGGGGAGGTGGGACTGGGAAGTGCCAAACCCCTTCTTTGGCTGCAAAACAAATCGGCAGTTTGTGCCCATCCCTGCCCCTGATATGGGCGGTGTCATCCTGCTCGAGGTTGGTCGAGGCAAAATGGATGGAGCAACCTGTCGTTACAATTAAGGAAATGTTTTCTGTTGGGTGCATTCTTTTCATCATTCTCTGTGTAGACTAGGTTTCTTTTTAGCATTTAATTGCCGACATCATGAATTTAGTCTGGATGTTGCTGGCAGGTGTTATTTCAGTACAATGGAAATGTATTTCGTGACTTGGATGGGGCAACGGCAAGAAGTGATGTTTTAAAATTTAACCACTCTTTGAAGCCTTCTAAGGCTAAACCCTTTCCTTTATTATTAAACATTGGAACGTCTGTGTCCCTCCCTTCTGACCAGTGACTCTCAGGCCAGCTGCACTTGGTTAGTTTAATACTGTGCAGGTTAGTTTAAAACTCTCCAGCACAGGGAAGAGAAGAGAGAGGGCTGTCTTCCATTGATGGGCACTTTGCTGGAGGGGGCTTTATCTCCACATCCATCACCCTTCACAGATTTCTGCCACTTGCAGGCATGGCACATTTTTGATCTGAGGCCCCTTCAAAATTGCTCTAGGCTCATGTCGTTCCTGCCTGTGTCCTCACCCCTCTAAAGCCCATGCAATTCAGCTGCCACCTCCCTCCCACCCCCTGCTTTCTGGAGGAGCCAGTTGGGTGGGAGAATCAGGGAGCTTCTGCCTCTAGCGTCTGTCTGTCTGTCTGTCTGTCTGTCTGTCTGTCTGTCTGTCTGTCTGTCTGTCTGTCTGTCTGTCTGTCTGTCTGTGGGAATAGGGCTCCCCTTGTCCGAGAAGAGGCACCCTCATGAGGTATCCGATGGGATGGAATGGTTTTCAGTGCCTACATCAGGGCGTGGAGGGCGATGCTTCCTATCTCTGCCTCCTGTACTCTTCCACCTGTGGCATAACATTTCACTTTACACAATGCAAGGCCTCTCTTCCAGAAGAGCATCCACGTTGGTTTGTTAGCATCCAAGGGGATTTCAAGACTCATTTTAGGACAGATCTGTGTGTGCGTGTGGGTCATTTGGGGTGAATGGTAACACCACCAAGGGCTGACGTGCACATTCCTTCTCCATGTGGCAGCAAGGCGCCACACTTGTTGAGAAGTGGAGTAGGGCACAGCTGGAAAGCTTGGCCTATAAACTGCACCGCAGGTAGACTGGCGTGGGTTTCCTAGAGGGAGGTTGTCTGGGTCTCTGTGATCTCACCAGCTTCGGATCTGAGGGAGAACATTGGTTGCCCTGGCAAGCCCTCAGAAGGGGGGGGTCGTGCGTGGGGGTGGCAGCTGGTGGTGGATAAAGGGATATTCCCGGGGGTGCTTTTAGTGAGACTTTAAATAACAGGGTCCTGAAGTGAGCCCAGCCAGGCCTGCGCCTGTTGCTTGGCCTGATGTCTGGCTACTCATGCAACCTTTGGTTTCTCTCCAGAGGGGGCTGCATTTTTTTTGGAAATAGTTTTGCATAAACCTCCGGCTAACAAACAGAGCCGTGTGCTCTTAACAGCCTTGGTG